GGGGGAGAAAGAGAGAGAGAGAGAGAGAGAGAAAGAAAGAAAGAAAGAAAGAAAGGAAGGAAGGAAGGAAGGAAGGAAGGAAGGAAGGAAGGAAGAAAGAAAGAAAGAAAGAAAGAAAGAAAGAAAGAAAGAAAGAAAGAAAGAAAGAAAGAAAGAAAGAAAAAAAAGCCACTGTCACTAAATCATTTAAGAATCAAACCCAGACTCTTTTAATGGCAATTGCAATCAAACAAACTTTTGTTGCATTTCTGAGAAATTTCTGTGGAAAAATTTGCAAGGAAAAAACAAATAATTTCCCTTTCAGACCAGCCTACATAGTAAGCAGTGAAGTTATGAGCTCAGCACACCAAGTAAGATACAGGTAGTCCTCAACTTACAACTGGTCACTCAGCAACCGTTCAAACATATGATGGACCTATGTGGGGTCTACTTGCAGTTTGGATTCAAAATATCAACAGTTGGGCCCTCTCAGGACGACATGACCAAACTCAGCAACCGTTTGATCATTCCGTGGCCATGTGACCATGTTGTACAATGTTGTTCTGCTGAAAACTGGCATTTATTTCCAGTTTTCGGCAAAACCACACCCATAGCATGCCATTGTTTGTTCAACTACTGTGGCATTTGCTTAACAACCATATTGGCCACTTTATGACCGTGGCATTCATTTAATGATGTTGCAAAAAGGTCATAAACCTTTTACGATTGTCATGATTTATAAGGACTACTTGACAAAGATTACCTATTTATTGACACATGGTTTATTGCAATATTTCTCAACCTCAGCCACTCTGCTGGCTGGGGAATTCTGGGAGTTGAAATCCGCCAGTCTTAAAATCACTGAGGTTGAGAAATATTGGTCTACCAACTTAATTACAGAGTTGGAATAGACGCAGAAACATTCTGAATAACAGATATGATTAAATGGGCGATGATGAATTTGGATCATTGTCTTTCCTAGTCTTTCCTAGTCTCATTGTGAAACCTAGTGTGTTAAAAAAAATGAAAAAGATCCCTGCAGATCTGAAAACACACAAACATGGATTGTAACACCCACCCTCGCATTCTCTTTAGAGGACTATGAAATCTATTCAGCTTCCATCTTCACTTTATTTTGCATTCTGCTTTCTATCCTTGCAGCTGGCTCCATCCTTTACCTTAGCTGAGCTGAGCTGAGAAACTTGGGGCCCCTGAACTCCCTTAAGGAGTGTCTGGGAAGGAGCAGCTGGAAAATATGAAGGAGGCTTAAGAAACTGACAAACAAGGCATAAGAGTTTGGCATCCCACTCCACTGAACCGGGGTGCAACGCACACTTTCCAATAGTTGTGCCAGACGCCTCCCCTTAACCCAAGCTTCACATCACATATGCCCATAATTCTCCTGGAGGAGCTGGATGTCCAATCACAATACACAGCTGCACAACCTGGTGAAGCTGAGCTAGTAACTCAACAATAATTTGCTGCTTTTTATAGCCAGCTCTAGAGGTTAAAATCAGGGTGCAGCGTGAGTGCACTGTCCTTCAGAAGACAATAAATTATCACTGGTTACTAGACAGATCCTAATAATTCCTCCAAATATCTGGCACTCGCCCATATCCAGCAGAGGCTGCAGTTCACGCAGTGATATCATCAGTTCAGGAATGCTTTGTTACAGCATCCACTGTTTTTACCATCTCCTTAAGCTTTGCTACTGTCAGAGTTTCCATCTCAGCCTGGTTTTAAATAAGGATGTCTATAAGGACTTAAGATCTTGATTATTATTTTTTTGGTGTTAAGACTTGGCGCTGCATCCATTTTGCAGCCAGCTTTTGTTGCCCAGGAAAGGAGGAACATTTGTATAAAACAATTTTAAGAAGTTGCCACTTAGGAAAGACTTAATTTGAAACATAACGGGAGGGTGGGGGGCACAGGTGGTATTCAGCAGGTTCTGACCAGTTCTGGAGAACGGGTAGCAGAAATTTTGAGTAATTCAGAGAACCGGCAAATACCACCTCTGACTGGCCTCTCCCCCATCTATTCTCTGCCTCCCGAGTCCCAGCTGATCAGCTGAGTCTTCTTTTGTTGCCCTGCACAGGAGAACGGAGCTGGAAAGCAGGTTAGTAGGTGGGGAGGGAATGGGATTTTGCAGTAACCTTCTCCTGGAGTGGGGTGGGAATGGAGATTTTACAGTGTCCTTCCCCTGCCACGCCCACCAAGCCAAGCCACGCCCACCAAGCCAAGCCACGCCACACCCACATAACCGGTAGTAAAAAAATTTGAATTCCACCACTGGTGCGGGGGGGGGAGGGGCACAGACAAAGCTGGGTATTGTTTATTCTGTACATGACAAAATTGCCTTACTTTTAGAGTGGCAATTCCTAAAGCCTCTTTCTCTACCAGGTTTTTTTCTTTGCGCACCACTGTGCAGTCAGGAGGATACCAGGCAAATTGAAACACAGACTTATTTTACAGATAGTCCTCGACTTAGGACGGTAATTGAGCCCAAAATTTCCATTGCTGAGAGACTTTTTGGGCCCCATTTTATGTATGACCTTTCCTGCCAAAAGTGAATCACTTCAGGTGTTAAGTTTTTGTAACCCGGTTGTTAAGTGGATCTGGCTTTTCCGATTGATGTTGCCTGTCAGAAGGTCACAAAGGGGGGTCACGTGACCCCAGGACACTGCAACCGTCATAGGTACATGCCAGTTGCCAAGTGTCCGAATTTTGATCATGTGACCATGGGGATGCTGCAGTGGTCCTAAGTGTGAAAAACTATTATAAAATCACTTCCCACCCACCCCCAGTGCCATTGTAACTTTGAATGGTCACAAAAACAAATGGGTGTAAGTCAAGGACTGCCTGCATTATGTTTGATGTATTCTGATATCAAAGGGTAGAATCTAACTTGGGGGGGGGGCAATGAAATGACATTATTTCAGTACAGGTAGTCCTGACTAGTTCAAAGTCACAACAGCAA